AATTTAATTTAGCTCTGGCTGAGGGCAAGGATGAAGGCCTTTGCTTTCACCAGTACTGAACAGCGGCATTGTATCATTATGCTTCATAAAGAGGGTTACTCCTGTACAGAAATAGCCAAGAGAGTGAAATGCCATTGCACCACAGTGAGCAGAGTGGTTGAAAAATACCAAATAACTGGTTCAATGGATGACAGGCTTTACTCCGGAAGACCAAGAAAGTTGACAAAATGGCAAGATCGGGCTTTGCAATGCATTTCGATGGCTGACAGGAAGCTCACTTCACCTCAGTTTACAAGAATTTGGGGTGAAACATGTGATGTAAAAGTGTGCACAAGCACAGTGCGTCACAGATGCATAAGAATGGACAGGGTTGGCATGTTCCATTCCTTAGGCAATGCCTGTGAAGCAGGAAACATGCCTTCTCCATTGTCCTAGTGGCCTTTGGAACAACATTCCCCTGAGATTTGTCTGGTTCTGAGACTGCCTGCTTATCTTTCAGAAGCTATTAAAGTTCTGATTACTTTTTCAAGCACTGGTTCTGGTAAAGGTCTGACTCATTGGATTTCCCCCCTCAAACATCACACATTTGTTTTCAATTTGGTTTATGTCTTTATACTTAGAAGATAAGGTGAAAGGTTTGTCACCTATATCGACATTTCAAGTGTCTTACCTCTAGAAGTCTTTTCCAGACATTCATTTTTCATCAAAATTAAATATAAGAAGCAACCTTCAATTCTCGTAATTATAACCACTCTAACTCATTTTTCAAATTACATATATAAACACATATAATTAAGACTCACAAAATAACTTACTTTCTTGTATTGCATTAAGAATCTCTGAAAAGTCCACATGTGTCTTCTGAACATCAGGCCTTATTGGTATTTGTGTTTCCAGATCACAACCATGATATTGCTCTTTTCTATCTAAAGAAATTGAAGAGAATTGGGTAGAGATTGCAACAATTTAGTAGTGACTGCAACAGCAATGAATGGAAAAGATACCATAGCAGCAACTACTATTGTGTATTTATTTTTCTGTATATAACAGTGCAGGGAAATATCAGCCCAATAAACAATCAAATTACAATGTATTTCTTATTCCCAGCAGCATACATGAATCAAAACAACATGTCATGCCACAAATATCATGATTATCAATTTGTGTCATAATATATTTTGTTGGAATCTCTTTGAAGTAATTACATACATGTTATTATTTGCCCTTCTTACCTCTCCATAGAGGTTCTCACTGGCTACTTAGAAAAAGACAAAATATTTGACTAATTGCATTTGCAAATTAAATTGCGGTTTTAAAGCACATCCCTTTAGCCAGGGAATATTGTTTAGCTTTTGTTTGCCAAAAGTATACAAAATGTAGCATTACAATATACAGTACAGAAATTATTTTGAACCAGTAAAAATTGTACTACTTAACAAAATTTTGCAAAACATAAGAGAGGATAAATTATCCATTTTCCAAAATTTATTATTGATAAATCATCTTTTCACATGTGTGGTTTTAACAATTTATGTTAAAAAGAGTTATTTTTGCACATATACTGCAATACCAAATAGATGTAATCAGGATCTAAATTAGTGATAAATATGTTGCCTGCCAAAGCTCTGGAAACTGAAGACTGATATGTTCCTAATACGTATATATTTGTAGCAGAGAAGGTAGCAAGAACAAGGTGTCTGTGTGTATAATATATGATGACACAAGCATAATGATGTCATCCCACAAATGCTGCTATGCATATTTTGCAAGTATGTCATAATGATATTTGTGTGATGATAACATTATATGCGTCTGATAATTTCGCCCCTTTAATTCTATGGAAACTGCTGGCAAAGAAGTGAGGTGTCTTGATCATCACCATACTATCAAGCTTGTCAAATTTATCCCTGGATCTCCAGACATTACTAGAAGTTGTATAACTCTAGTGCTAATTTAACATTAAAATAATAGCAAGCAGAAGAAGAAAGACAATAAAGAATGGTAAGTTGTAATATTACATGAGGTTGACATCCACATACAAAACTGGCACTTATTTGTTCAAACAAAAATAAAGGGATAAAGAATGGGGACACATAATTGTAAAGGCAGCACTGCAGATAAGTAAACTATGGTGGCATAACTGTTCTCCGATTTCTTTGCCAATGCTATTGATCTGATTCCAGTTTTCTGATTTTTTTGGGTACAGAGCCTGAATTTTAGGATCAATCAGACAAAATCTGTATTTTGTTCTCCTTGTTTCTATGAGAACTTTAAACCAAGATTTCCTGGTGTCAAAAAACCCTCTAACTTCCTCTCCTTTCCAGTTCTCCGCTCTCTCTCTTATTGAAGGAGGGCAGGAGCTTAGAATTATGATGTAAGACTCTTCGCGTTCTGATAGGCCACTCATTTAAGAGTCAAGAATTAACTTGAAGGCTTCTGGACCTTTCTGCCTTTAGAGTGCGGCTAGGGGAGTGAAACTGAAGGTCTAAGGGTTCCAGAGTCACAGAAGCTTTTCAGAAGTTTAGAATTCTTATTTAAATATAAATCATGATAAAGCTTTGGCATTGGCATTGGCATTTTATATTCTCCATATTAAGTGGATTGTGTTCCATGAAGCATTATGAGAATTCATTTTGTGATTGCAAAATTATGTATAATTAGGTTTATAAATTGTATCACAAATAATGTACTAATACTTGTATAAAATGTACAAGTACACTGAGAAATTAAGGCAAACTAATACAGTCAAAATTTCCACCACCGATTCCGGCGAACCGGTGTAAACTGGCTGAATACCACCTCTGAAGCAGATACATGGGATGAGAGACAGCTATCACTTTCATTGTTACAGTGCTTTTTATCTTCTAAGACATTAGGGCGTTCTAAAAGAAAACTGTATAGATAATGTAATGCAAATAGATTGATTTATGTTCTATTCATTTATATTGAAAAATTAATAAATTATTTTTGTATAATTTCCACTGCAAGAAATACTCTTCATTATTTATAAACAGTTTATGATAACAGTTCAATAGCTACTGAAAAATGAAAAAGAAATAAAGAACTTTTGATCTGACTCTTATAGAATTATGTAACTCAGTCACATTTGTATTTTATTATTAGTTATTAGCAGTTGTTCTACTTGTTGAGAGTATTGAAAACATGCTGTCCTTTAATAATTTTTACTTTTTAGAAGTGTTTCAATATGGTATCACTGTTTTGCATATGATGTGGACATAGGATGAGAAATTATTAATTGCTAAAAACAAAGTAATGTACTTTTTCAGTGAGTTAAACTATAGCAACATTTGAAACAGGCATTCCATCCAAATGGTGAATCCAAATTCCACACTGAAAGTAACATACTTTCCATATTTAGATGCACAACTAAAATATGCTTCCTTATAACTGCATACTTGACTTTCCAGTATTCTTACAGCAGTGTTTAGTCCCAGCCAAACTTTCAACACAGCTGAAAATGCACATTTTATCAAATGGGCTAAATAAGGCAACATTTCGATTTCTTTCCTTTTTCTTTCTCCTTTACAGTTCATACCAGCAGCATATCTCCTAGCAATTGAAGAGGTGAATTTCCCCCAGGGCTTTAGCCTCCATTACCTCTATGCAAAATTTGGGCAATGGGAATGCTGCCTACATTCTTAAATTAAAAATCTTTCACATTTAATGTTTCAAATCATGATAGAGGAGAATATTTGTACCTCAGCACTGAAATGAGGAGTTATTGATACTCTCTAAGCTTGGTTGTTTTCTTGTAGATGGTTCATTATTCAAACTAGGTAATATCATCAGTGCAATAATTTGGGTCAGCAAGAAAACAGAGAGCACAAAAAACTCCTCAATCATAATAGCATTATGGAATATGTCAATGTTGGATGAAATCAGCTGACCCTTCCTCCAGGTGTGATTTAAGTACATTCAAGGTCTTTTCAATAAACCTATTGAGCTTGAGAGCTTCCCCCCTTCTCCTTATCCCTTATGTTATGGGCACCATTATGAAAATGTCATAGAAAATAAAGGATTTCCGGTTGTAACATATAGCTCTGAAAGCAGGACCATCCAAAGGCTGAATTTTTTTAAAAAATGCCTTTGGATTATGGTACTGTAGAAAACAGTAGAGAATATATTGGATAAAAAGTGTGAATAATTAAATATTAAATGAAGTAAAATCAGACCAACCAATGAAAATACTAATTATACATTTAGGGAACCTAATGTGCAGGGAAGTAAGAGTCATTGGAGAAGATTCTTGGGAAAATCCAGGCCAGTTGAAAAAGAGATTGATAGAATATTATCAATGATGACAAAAGCACGAATGTATAAGAGGTCAAAGAAGTAGTTACTGACGGACAATCCTTGTGAAATGATGCCCATCAAGTTATTATGAGTCAGAAACAGCTGAACAGTGGCAAATGTATAATTGGTTAAAATGGCAAAAGAATCTGTATAAAAAGGTTATGGGAAATTCAAATTTGGCATAAAGGAAGTATTTTTCCCTAACCCTTACACATTTTAGGATGGGGTGAGACTACATGCATGAAAAAGGTGAAATCATAGGCCATTATTTAGGCAGACAACTTAGAATATGTCTGAAAGATAAGGGCAATGGCATTTATGAGGGTTTTTTTT